CAGGAACCAGGAAATCAGCGTTGTCAGGAACAAGCCAGGAACAGGAACCAGGAAATTAGCGTAGTCAGGAACAAGCCAGGAGCAGGAACCAGGAAATCAGCATAGTCAGGAACAAGCCAGGAGTAGGAACCAGGGGAGAATGTCAGCCAGGATTGGGCCATACACGGAATCAGGATACACTGAGCAGCAGGAATGCACTAGCAGGAAAGACCACGCACGGGCACGGTGAGACTGGACTGAGCAGTTTAAATAGTGAGTGGGGTGACATCATCACTCAGAGACAGGAAACTCCCATCTGCCTCTCTCAGATGATGCTCTCCTGTCTGGCCATAAGAGGGAGTCTCGGATGACTGAAATATGCTCACCTAAATTTTATAAGCGCAAAAACCACTGTTTGTATAACTTTTATGTGTGGACACTCTATGTTGGAGTGTTCGTGCAGTTTGTAACTGAACTTATATGTGTGGAAAAAACAATAAAAATCTTTTGAAACTAAAAAGAGGGAGTCTCGGAGTAGTGAGCAACGTTCCAGAGTCTGCTCAGAAAAAGGAGGAATCACAGGTGGGTGGAATGGCAGCCAAGCCAGAATGCTGAAAACCAGTTAAGTCAGGGTGGAACCCTGACACATGTAAACAAAGGGGCGGGATACTTGTGCTGACATAATTTACTTTATATGACCACATTGGTAATGTAATTTACCAAATATAGGTATGTAGCTATACAAGGTAAATTATGTCACTGCATCCAGCCCCTTTGATAATGTCCCCGCCTGCAGCTCATGGCCGGCGAAGAAGGAGCTTCTTCCGGTATTTGGGATAAGCTCATTCTGGATTCAGAGGTGCTCAGGTTCCAACCGGGTTCAGTCCGAACCTAAGCTCATCCCTAATGTGCAAATTAAATAGGTTAACAGGAATTTGCTTTTCACGATTGGATAATTAAGTGAAGCTTCACATAGTTTATTGTGTGAACCGTCTCAAATTCTTTTTTTTTAAATCAGCCTCTATGGAAGTGGTTGAATAGTAGCCATCTACGCACTTTAACCCTTTCGCTGCCAAGCCCTCCGGAACATTTTTCAAATCAGCTGGCCAAGCCATTACACTGTACAGCCAATTCCAGGATGTCCTATGTAATCTATAACTCTGTCAGGGATGTCAATCTCCTGGGTCATGAATATTTGACCATAAGTACTGTATCTGGCTAAATAAGTCAGGGATGTCTAGGTCTGACTCCAGTTCTGATCTGTATATGTATGGGAGGTTTAAAAATATCTTAGCAGACACTGCCTGCACTTTCTTCTAGTGGAAATACTGGAACGGGCAGCGATTGTCTGTAGAATGTCTGCCTATAAGACAGAACTTTTTTTTATTCTGCTAAGCTGATAAAGTGTTTACATAGACCATTTTGCTAGATCAATCATTACAATTCATACTTAATATGAATCAATGCACCACTACTAAGCAGGAAGCAGAGTCTGCATATGTTATGAATAATATTTGTTAATTACATATGCAGCCTCTGCTTCCTCCCGAGTAATCCCCCAGTGGGCTGTATTTATTTATATGCTATCCACAGAAACAAGGTTTTAACAAAATTAGTTTTTTTTTTCCAAACATTGCATATAATCAGAGCCTTCTGAGTCCTGTGTATAAGTGAATAACTAATTTGAATTGCTGTAAGATCGATTTATTCATGCTGTGCTTTCTGGGTCTTGCAGAGGCTCCTTCGAATGGACCTTCCTGTGGCTGATGATAATACTGTGCATTTTAACTCCACTCTCATGGCTCTTATACGAACTGCATTGGATATCAAAATTGCCAAAGGTAAGATCACACATTTTTCAGGGACCACAACAGAGACTGTGGTTGGACATGAAATGGTTATTAAATTGTACATAAAAAGAAATAAGGGCCTTATATGCCAAAGTGTCTGAAAAAAGAACTGTCTGTAGCTTCCAGCAGAAACCAATACAATATGTACAGTCATTATCTAGTTAAGGTTTTATTATGATTGGTTTCTAGAAGACAGTACGGACAGATTTTAGATATTTAGTACTAAATTGGGAAATATGTCCCAAAGAGAACTATAGCCAAACCTTTTTTTGGCTATAGTTCTCTTTCGGATAACAGGAGGACATTTACTAATGTCCTTCTGTGACCCAAAGTCAGCATATAGCAGGCTACTGCCCGCTATATGGTGACAGTGCAGAGCTGTGCTGCAGCTGGGAAAGATCCAGACAATATTGTCAGGATCCACTCATCTGCCTGATTGACAGCTGGTTCTGCTTCTCTAGAGCCAGAGCCAGCTGTGCCTGCCCCCTCCCCTGTCTCTCCCTCCAGTGAGCTCTGGAGGAACAGAGACCCTTGGCAGTGCAGGGGTAGCCCCCCTCCAAGGGTTAGGAAAATGTTTTCCTGGAGTTCTTTAATATTTAAAATTTACCAGAATAAAAAAATATCATTTTTTTTTCAATGTAGCAGCTTCAGTGCTGCTTGTTTTTCTGCATCTGTCTTACTGGGGTCTGAAAGGGGGGGGCTACTGCCTGATCCTAAGCACACTCATATGTGAGGGCTAGTCTACATTAGTGTGCTACAATAATACACATGGGTTACTGAAGGTTATGTTGCATGCTGTGTGCTTTGTGTTGAGGCAGCCTAATAAAAATCAATTGGCTGCTAAAGCACCAGAATGTCTCAAAAATTGGACATGCCACAAAATTTTTAACACAACTCCATAGTGTGTTGCATGTGTATTGCCTTAGTGCATTGGGGTGCCATTCAAAATTAATGGCACCACAGCACAGCAACACACTGCTGGACAAAGGTGTAAATGGGCCCTGAAGGTTTCCTGATTTTTTGTAAAGATGGAAAAACCTCTTTACTTTAGCAATGAGTGCATAAGCGAGCAGAGTGGGAAAATGTCTCAGAGACAGAAAGTAACGAATAAGAATAATGTCAAAATATAGACGTTAAATTGTATTTATTTTGCATTAATCATTACAACTTACTCAGCGGTGAAACTATACTTAAGTACTCAGATTTTTTTATTTGTGTGTATTTCAGGTGGTGCGGACAAGCATCAAATGGACAATGAGCTCAGAAAAGAGATGATGGCCATTTGGCCCAATCTGTCCCAGAAAACACTCGATTTGCTGGTGACACCACATAAATGTAAGGAAAGCGAAAAAGGCATTCCCTTTATTGATGAGTTTAATGAAACTGCAATTCTATAAAAAGAAGCAGCAATATTTAAGTTTCAGAATGACCAATTAACATGGGTTTAGCCCGCTTTGCCAAATAGAATTCTCTAAATTACACCTGTTATAAGGGCAATGTGTGGGCTGACGTTGTTCTAAAAAGGCTAGCTGGCCGGAAGTGTCTCTGTGAGTCTCAGAAATGGAACAAGCATGCAGCAAATGAAAGTTAAGGCAATGCCAGAATTCCTTATTTCTACATATGTTTAGAGTCAGTGACTTAGAAAGTGTTGAAACAAAGCATAAGTATGATAAGCAAATAGCAATTGCAGAAGGAGACATAAGCCATAGCAGCTTATTTATCTCTCGACAGAATAATTTTAATGCACATGTATAAAGCGTGTACAATATGGATACTTGTCTTTGTAGTCAGACAGACTGTGACATTATTCAGGTACAAGAGTGATCATCTGTGCATGCTCTGGTTGATTGTACATGTCCCTGCTAGTGTTTTACCTACCCTGTCTTACCAGCTACAGACTTAACCGTTGGGAAGATTTACGCAGCCATGATGATTATGGAGTACTACAGACAAAGCAAAGCAAAACGGCTACAAGCATTGCAGGAGGAACAGGTAACGTGTTCATCAAGATCTTACCAGAGACAGGTCTTTACAGCAAACTCATCTGCATCGTATACTGCCACGTACTACAGAAAATCAAGGCTAAGAACATATCTATGCAGTGGCGTAACTATAGCCATAGCAGCCCAGGTGGCTGCCATGGGACCTGGGGGCTGAAGGGGGCCCCATTATGTTGTTGAGGCAAATTAAACATAGAACGTGTGAAGATATTACAGTATTGTATCATTAAGGATTGGAGTGGTTGCAGCTGATGCCAACTCTAATTCCCTTTAAAGTTTACAGTGTAGAGGCAACTTCAGATTCACAAAAAGAGTCTTTGGAATCTTGGCATCCTTACTCACACCTCAGAGAGAGGGCATCAGGGGGTCCCCTATCACATTTCATTTTAGTTGAGTGTTTATGTTTTCAAATCAGTAAAAAAATAAAAAAGCTTGTTGAATTGTACAAATTGGTATCTCGGGATTTTCACCAAACTTAGTAGAGGCTTTCTACACCAACTTTATAAACAGGAAAACGGTTTCCTTTAAAAAAAAATTAAATATCATTTTGACCTTAATAAATAAGGAGTTGTGTGTGCTAAATACACCTTGTAACACGGATAAAGAACTTTTATGTCTGAATTGACAACATGCATAGCAAGTTCTGAAGCTACCCATGAAAAGACACCCAGTCTGCTACAATTCGTCATCCCTGATGAAGGGACCCTGAGTAGCCCCGAAACATTGCTTTGTGACGAGAAGTGTGTACATCAATAAAATGACCACTCGTTGAAGATTTTACTTTGGTGTGCTGGTGATATACTTTACTACTCAGTCCGCTACAATGGCTTCCACACATGACTGCCAGTAAACCATCCTCGAGTACTAGTCAATCAGGTAAGTTAGAAAACCTTTTTTTTTTGGTCTGTCCTCCTTTATGTCTGGTAACCTGAGAATGGGGTCCTGTGATGTCATGAAACGTCAATGGTGGAAAATGTTTTTGGCACTTTTTCTTTGTCTCCCTCAATAAACAATGCAGGCTCATTGTGGGGTGCTGTTTTTTTCTATTTAATGAACTATAATAAGGTATCACCAGTAGCCGTGCACTTCCTATCCGTAGCGTGCAGGGTCAGGTGCTGGAAGGATTAGTCTGTAGGTTAGAAAACCTGTCTTGTTCCTTCCTGTAATAAATGGCACCTTCAATGTCTGCCAAATCCCTCTCCTCCTACATCCCCTCTGGATAGCAAATCAAATGTTTATGCATGTGGCAGCCGAGGGTGGTGCCTGAGGGACATTGGATCATGCTTTCCAACCACCCTCTGAAATCTCTTCACCTTTTAGCCAAGCACAATGGTGCACACACAACAGTTGTTACACCGCAGCATTTATAACAATGTCCAAAGTAAGAATTGTCTTTGCTGCATCATTGTTACCAATCAGATTTAAACCTGCATTGGAAAATGACTGATGGAAAACTAAACATGGGTATCTCATACTGACAATTTTTTAAACTATTTATTTATTGGGGTCTATTACGTGAAACTGCAGTAAGCAGCTAATTAAAAATTATGATGATGATGATGCTAATCACTAACAATCTGGTGGATCCAGTGCATCAGAATCCAGCTTTGTCTTTACCAAAGCACTTGGCGTTCCAGTGCTAGAGCACAATCACTCCCAGTTCTGTATTCATAAATACATTGTACTGTCAGTCACGTGAGTCAGATTCTATCTTTTCCAGAACCGAACTCCGCTCATGTTTCAAAGGATGGAACCTCCATCACCCACACAAGATGGACCAATGGGACTAAACCCTCTGATGTCTTCTCAGCCAGGAGGTGAAATGTGAGTATAATCCCTAGCTTATTCGTAGAAGTTCTTACTTAGTATTATTAGAAACTGTATAAGAGGAAATGTCCCAAATATGTGACATTGATCTGAACTTACTGTCCGTACAAACTGATAAAAAGAATTCCTATATCAGAGTTATCTACTTTCTTGTACAAAAAAAATACTGCAACCTAAATTTTCACGGTGTTCCAGGAATATCCCTGAGGGTGGAATGAAGGAGAGTCAGTCTTGGATGACGCAAAGAGCACAGCAGATGTTCCAAAAGACGGGAACATGGAGTCCAGAGAGGGCCAGAGAACAAGAAAATACCAACAGCTGGCCAGATTCCCAGGTAAGGCTGCCATATATCTTAGAGGGAGGTCACACTAGCACGGATGATTGAACTGCCCTTAGGGTGGCAAACTGTTTGAGCAATGCAGAGAGCTCAATAAACTTGATCTATGTATATGGGCTTTGGGGAAGGGGGGGGGGCTGCCTTTGTTATCATTTAGGTAAACAGTATTTGTCAGGAAAGGTTCTTTAAACCTGATCGACTGATGGGTGTCTGCCTGGCACCACAGACAAGATTGTCACCTAATCTGAAAAAAAACAACTAAATCAGGCGACTGGCATAGTCTATATATTGGTAGCTTAAAGTGAACCAGACCTTTTGTGAACAGGCAGTTTAATCTTAGACTGTGCAAGGGGTTTTTTGACTGTGAGAGTTGTAAAAAAGTGGAATTTCCTTCCAACAATCAGTGGTATCCGCCGATAACATGGATGAATTTAAGAAACACTTAGATAAGTTTCTCAATTCACTGAATATAAAAAAACTTCTATGTTATTATGTAACTTAAAGCCCGGGCAAAACAAAAATGTGCCCTTGTAGTGCTGCTTGGAGCAGCGGCTCTGGGTGCGATGGGTACACGGACTGTATCCTGTAGTGGGGCTGTCCCCGCACTGTGAGGGTTAAGTGCTCATTTTTGTCTAGGGACTAAAGTAAAGCAGATTAACTTGCCAGATCCCTGCTCCCACTGGCTCCCTTTAGGACTCCTAGACTGGTCCCTACAGCCTCTCCTTCCCTGGGCTCCTGTGACCTAAGGACTACTGATGTTATCAAGGCTAATGTCGTTTCTATAGACCTGCATTAGACATGACACTGAGGGACACTTTATCAGCCTGAGTGGGGAAGGAGAGGAGGATAGCACTGACTGCCGGGGGAGTGAGGATCAGGTTAATAAATCTATGTTACTGCAGCCCCTAGACAAAAATGAGCACTTAATCCTTGCAGTGTAGTTGGGTACCCCCAGAACATGTATAGCTATAAAGAAATTGTAACCCATTTTTGACACTCATTTTCATCATGCATGTTCCTGGTCTGTGACTTTGTTTCCTGGGTTTACAGTAGGGGGTTTATTCACAAAAGGGTGAAGAGTTTGAAGAAGGCAGGAGAAGTGAACAATCTAGGACAACATAGCTGAACTGGAAAGTGAGCTGAATTGGACAATTTTTCCAAATCATCTATGTTGTCCTAGAGTGTTCACTTCTCCTCTCGTCTCCAAACTCTTCACCCTTAAGACCCCGTTCACATTGAGCGATTTATCGCGCGGTAATTCCCGCGATATCGCGGCAAATTACCGCGCGATATCGCGCTCCAATGCAATCCAATGGGGCAAAGGGTCCTGCTGTCGCGGGTCGTGTGTCGCTACAGCAGGACCCTTTTTGGAGCGGATCTAGCCGCGATTCAAGCTTGCTCAATGCAAGCTTGAACGCGACATCGCGCGGCAAATCTCGCGATGTCGCGCAATATGCAAATCGCGCGATTTGCATATCGCGCAGTGGGAACGGGGCCTTAGTGTATAGCCCTGTAGGTACTTTGGTTTTGAACAACAGTCCAAAACATGATTGTCTTCTGACTAGAATTTCCATAGAGTGTGAGAGACTGTATGAAAGAGACAGTCAGGCACATTAGCTCTTATGGGCAAGGACTAATGTGAATGGCAGTATGTAAGAAGCTTTGTAATATCTCAGTGCTAAATAAATACAGTATGTAATAATATAAAGGAAAAAGAATGTTGACAATTCTAAACAAAATGTGTTGAGCACACAAGGAGAAGATAAAGGAGAGAGACAGTCATAATTGGATCATGTGATTCATGGGTCAGGGGGAGTTGAACCCTAAAGTTGGAACACGTTGATGTATTTTGTATTTTATGTACTATTAAGCCACATTAACATTTTTTTTCCTTGGACCTAATGAACAGAACCTGTTTTTTGGGTTCACTGTTGAGTCACACTTGACTTATTTTTTCTGATCCTGTTTTGTAAAAATAACTAGACTCTGTCTTTGTTCCCAGTTGGTGGAGATGACAGAGATGAGTCGAGATGGTTACTCGGACAGTGAGCAATATCTTGTGATAGAAGGGCATGGCAGAGCTGCCTCAATGCCACGACTACCTGCTGACAACCAGGTAAGTACATCCTCCTGGTTCTAGGGTCTTGTTTACCATGAAACAGTCACCATACTAAAAGCCTTTCCTAATTATTGTTTCATGATTGCAACTAACACAGTAAAAATTATAGCCAAAGTTAATGAAAAGATTTGAGGATTTGAGGACCTGGCCTCTATATATTCCTGATAACCATTATAAACAAAAAGAAGACCAAATAAAAACATTTCACGCAGTTTATAAATGATATAGGCTTCTAAAAATTTGATACTTTCCCTAAATGATCGTTAAATCGAACAATTCTATCCGTAAGGTCTTATTCACACTCTGGGGTCTATTTTAAAAATAATTTGTATAGCAAAACTGCATGTACATTCGTTCTGTGCAAATTAAGCAGCTGTTCCAAGTATGGGGTGAAAATGAATGTTCTCAGGGTATTGTCTCTTATGGTTGAATGTTTGTAAGCACTTATCATTTAGGCCCCTATAAGGTGATGTCACCATTCCCTCCCCATGAAGAGAGGAATACTTACTGAGTTCGGATGGGTCCAGCCCTCAGTTGTTTGTTGACATCCTGACGTGGACATCTCCTTCTCCTGGCTGTGCCTGTGCAGTAAATCTCCATTGACTTCTATGGGGCTTGTCTACGACTGGGAGACGATCCCCATATGTTAACTAACAACGAAGGCTGGGCCCGTTAGAACTTGGTATCTCAGCACGAGGAGAAAGGGAGCGATGACGTCAGCCTAAAGGGGCCTAAAGGATAAATAAGTGCACTTGGTTTTAAAGTGCATTCATCCTTTAGGGCTAGTTCACACCAGCCTCAGTGTGTTCTGGCCCAATTCTGGCCGTAACATACTGGATCGCATTGCAGGCCCGCTCACTTTATTGTGGGGCCGGAGGGGGCGTGGCGGTGCATTGAACTCAATGGCACCGTAGCCACGCCCTCTGGCCGCACGGGAGCGCATGGCACATCAATGCCTGCGTTCCGGTCCGGTCAGAAAAAATAGTGCTTGCAGCATTTTTTCTGACCAGACCGCAGGCATTGATGTGCCTTGTGTTCCCGTGCGGCCGATCCATTGTCACGCCCCCTCCCGCTCCACAACAAAGTGAGCGGGCCGCAATGCGATCCAGGGCGTTCCGGCCAGAATCGGGCCGGAACGCACTGAGACTGGTGTGAACTAGCCCTTAAATTAATGTTATGTCCTATTATGTAGGCTGGAAACCGGAATATAAAGCAGAAAATTTTGAACTGTGACTCACTCTCTGGCTATAATTTTTTGACGTTTGGTAAAAACCACAAGACTGGCTGAACAAAGCTGCAAATGTTATAGCAGATAAAAGAGTTCACATATTTCACCATAACTGTGTTTTAGCTGTTTGGCTGGAGTTGTGTTGTGAAATATTATTAGCTTTAATGAAAGGTTGATAGTTTTGGCAATTGCATATCATGTGATTGCTCATTTTTGTATATTTTTTTGAAATGCTGAATTAGAAATACAATCCAGAATAACAGTGATCGTTTTTAAAGTCTGTTTTACATGCTGGATAGATGGAGCTTCTGGTTCACTCCTGCATGAGCTGCATTGAACATATTTGACATTAAGGCAAAGCTTTGAAATCACGACCTTCCATAAACATATAATGATCGCTATCCATTGTAAACACATTAATGTACATAAAAAGCATTGCATTCCATGGCTGCATGTACATCTTCTTAAGAAGTCGTGCAAAAATGAAATTTTCAATAGGCTATGGAGTATCATTTTTACTTGGTCATAAAATATTTTTGTACTGTTTCTTATAAAGCACTGGTGGGATGCTAGCTGGCTAGCTGTTAACAGGGTCTTCTATTGTTATTAATAAAGTAGAAAACATTTCACTTGTCATCATTTAAGGGTCAGTGGGGGTTTGGTCAACATCAGGCAAAGCAGCAAATATTTGAACAAGAAAGTGGAAAATTGTATTGGCCCTGACATTCTCGTACCTAGACTCAGTAACAGAAGGGAGGGAATATATGATGCCATGGATAGGCACCAGGAAAAGAAAATTATGGTAAGTATTGATACAATTTTCCATTTTCCTGGTGCCTCCATGGCAGCATACTGTGATAAATACCGACCACTGACAGGGCGGGTTAAATGTGAAGTATTTTTGTGAATAGTAGTAACTGAGGCTTCAATAGTCATCTTGCCAAAGTCGACTGTCACCAAGACATTAGGCTCCACTCTGTAATGCTTCAGGACCGTAAAATGAGAGGACCAACTTGCTGCCTTGCAAAGTGTTTCTAGTGATACTCTGGCGTGCGCTGCCCACAAAGCTGCCATGGCTCTTGTAGAGTGAGCCCTCACCATGCTAGGCGGATCCCATCCAACAGCCCTTATGCCCATTGAATGGTCTTTATGATCCAAGCTGTGAGAGTTCTTGCTGTAGCTTCATTCCCCTTATGGCTATGTCCTGGTAGGTTGAATAGCTTTTCTGAAAATATCAGGCGGGGGTCTAGTCTCTCACATTTAGAGATTTGACCTGGTCCTGTAGGTGGGGATCGGGGGTTGCACTCTATTACTAGTATGCTTCCATGTAGGCACCAGGAAAAATACATTGCTTTATTATGACCTGTTCCTACCTATGCATTACAGGGCATTAGGGAAAAAAAGTTCGCACTTTGTTAACGCAACACTTCAAGGCAAGCATTCTGTCATGAAGAAGCCTTGAATTAGTGAGCTGTTAATGTTATCTAAAAAAAAGCTTTGTTTACCTATAACTTGAGTTTTCATTCTGCAAATGTTTAACAATGCTTCCTGGTAGAACTGCACAATCCTTTCACATGCTACTGTGCAGCCTCTCTCGCATGCTACAGCTTATGCGGGCTTAGAAAAAGGCAGTGCTTTAGCCTGTAAACTCACTGGCCAGCCTTGCCACAAGCTTAGATTCAGGCCCATTCATAAGAGGAGGGTATTAGAAACTAAAAGGGTTTAGCTGTTGGGTAAGCCTGTGGGAAGACGATGAATACCACGATTAAACGAATGCCCATTCAACAGAGACATTTGTCATTAAAGTTTATGTATGGGCAAAAATGTTGGATTTTGGATAGGGTTGGGAATAGTTAAAACCCCTGTTGGTTTATTTTTTGCTGTCTGTGTCCTGTTGGGAGGTTTACCTTAACTTTCTGTCCTAAAGTTGTAACAGGGGGGAATTCACCGGAACAGGTGTCACTGTTGAAAAATGTACCCTTAACTTTGGATTTTCTATCACTCTCTGTCTCGATGACAGTAGTCACCAGGCAAATAGTTCTTCTAATCCTTCCCTACTCTATCCAAACCCTTCCCTACTCTATCCAAACCCACACAAAACAATTTTTTACTTTCCCTACATTGAAAAAAAATATCCATATACTACTTAGGAAAAGTGAAAAGCATTTTTGTTTGTGTTGCGGTTAGAGAGTTTCTCCGCAGGAGCTCAGCTGGACGTCAGCCAGAGGGCCCCACTCCCTGGCAAACGATGACATCAGTGAGCTAGGCGGGAAGCCAGACAGAGCCAAAGGTTGCTAAGAGCTCTTAGCAACCTGGGATGCTGTGGCCACCCACCCAATGAGATGCCTCCTAAGGTGACTGCAGCCTGAGGCAGTCACCTTAGGCGGCATCTAATTGGCATAATATATATATTAGATAGAGCAGAAATTGTTATGCTTTACACTTCTCTGATTAACCTTTCTTATTTCTCTGAATAGAGCAGGTGGGGGAGGAGTCACTCAACTCGTTTATTTAATTTCCTTAAAATGCAAATTTTCACATATCTGTCTATTTTTCCTTGTGCATCTTTGTAAAAGTACTATGTTCTATTTTGTTCTTAGTTTTCTGTCAAATACCTGGGGATTTTTCCAGTCCCCCTTTCCTTTTGTAGTCTCGTCACGCCAAGCATGGAAGCACGGAAGCACATCCCTGCTGGCATGGTTAGTTTGTGTATCAGATACAGGACGCTCAGCCAATGGCATGTCTGTATCTCCTGCAGTCAGTTTAGCTAGAACGCCGCTGCTGTTTGAGTGTTGTTAGTGCTTCCAAAAACAGAAGACTGCTGAAGGCCTCAGACTTTAGTATGAGCACCAGCTTTCCTAAAGACTAAGTAGGCAATATGTAAGTAGCCAAGCCCTGAACTTGAACCATCCTTCAACATTTCTGTTCTGTAACCTCTAACTTATCCTATTTAATACCCACTCAGGACTTGACAATCTGCAGGAACCTGCTAGAGGAAAAAAAAAAAGCATGTGCAAAGCTAAAGGATGCATTTAGGGAGTTACATTTAAGTAGGCCATATATGGAGGAATCTGGTCACTTATAAACTAACAAGAAGTCTCCCAGACAGGGGGGTAGCTACAGACATAAGTATCCCACTACTAGGGCCTTACAGGCTAGGTATTACTGCTTCCTCAAACTTATTGTCCAGCTTTGGATTGCTGCATTTCAACATGTCCACTTTGCATCTCCTACTTAGTGAACCCAGAAGTCTTGCTGCAATTGCTTTAACCCCAGTTCCTGCAGCCCTGACCTTGGGCAATCCTTCTTTTAGCCAGCATTCAGCTCTACTATTCAGTGCATTTCAATGGGGCACAAGCCTGCTTTACCATTGGGAATAAGTAGGACATCAGAACAAAACTTCCAAACTTGTCAATCATTAATGATTCAGACACTGTTTTCTCTTAGTTCACTCAGGGCCGATGCACACCTATGCAAAACGCGTGACAACTGCGCGGTTTACAATGAACAGTCGCGCGATCGAAAACGCAAAACAACCGTGCTAAAAAAGCTCGGCATCTGAATCGCCTAGGTGTGAACCTAGCCTCACACAATAATTTGAATTGAAATATATGGCCAGTTTTATGTCGGAGCATTATTGTAGGATTTTCCTGAAAATAATTACTGTTGAGTTTTGTATCATGTTAGCCATGGGTAGTAGTAGAAAGGTAAAAATGAAGGTGATATCTGTTGCGTGGCTAACTGTGATATCAATGTATAGAGGGGAGGCGATATCACAAGGTATTTTATAATTCCAAGTAGAACAGAGAAGACAGATGTCCACCATTAGAGTTTGAATAGACAGCTTGGGCCTAACTCACACCCAAAAACTAATGAACCCCTGACAGGTCCTTGGGCAGATACGAGTGGACATCTATAGACTCTTTTGGCTGAAAACTACAGCAGGGGACAAGAGGTCTCTATACACTGGGCTCCCTGCTGTCTGAGGAACGATAGTCTTTTTCATAGATTAGAGGAATTATGTTTCATCTCTAATAAAACCCAATATCAGTCATAGGGAGATGAAACTGATTCCCTCTGATAGTACATATTATAAGCTATTTGCCCATATTGTAGGTTTTGGTTCATCCAAAAAACTGAAAAAGCCGTTATTTGGGGGCCTGCTTGCAGCAGCCATGTTGTGAGTAGGCGTGTTGTGATTGGGCTGACACACTGGTGTCGGAAATCCTACACCCGCCGGGCCCAAATAATCTATGGCCACTTCAGAAGGTGGGCCGCTCCTTGACACTAACTGAATATATTGCGAACTTTGCTCTGAATCTGATCAGTGTCTGTGGGAAAATTATTTCATAAAGAACACGATAAATAGGGCCCATTCTCTGTCCAGCTTTCCCAACATTGTTCCATCTTACTTCCCCTTATCTTCTCTCAACATTATTGCCTTTAAAATTAGGTCTTAAAGTTTTCGACTGAATCTCTGTCTTTCTTCTGCAACCACAGCAGGGAAAAAGGTCTGCACAACGTACTTTCACATTATGGCAGACTCAGCTGCCTTGCTGTCCTCCTACAGGGCTGTCACTTGCTTTTCTTTCCACTGGCACTACCAATATTGTCACGACCACTCTTTTTCCAGTCATCTTCCGGGTTTCTGTTGCTCCTCTTCTGCCATTGGATGGCTATCTGTGAAGTACCTCCCTGACACACCGGAATTACTGAGCCTGGGTGTGCCCTGCACTGTGCATGCGCCGCAAGCAGTGAATGCCAAATCCGCAATGTCGGCTCTCTAGGTTCTGTCCTCAGGTTCACTTTAAGGTATCCAGTGTGCATGGCCCAAATACTCAAGAGTTTCCATGCAAACTGGACACTTCGTACAGACTGAAATGAACACTGACTGTGTGGTTCAGCAGCTTAGGCAAGGCATAGGCAGGCAAATGTTTCTCAGAACAGGTGCCAGAGGAACATTTGTCTGTTCTCTGCAGGTTCAAGACACAGTGCTGAATCCAGCATGCATGTGACCATAGCCCAAATAGCCCGATTCTTGTACAGATTAGAGAAGGACTGGGCCAAGTATAGTTAGCCTGGATGTTGAAGACCACTCAATTAGTGTTGTACAACTTTCCTAGACATTAACAGTTATGTAACAACACTTGAATAGATTATTGTGAAACCTGGAAAACCAATTGGTCTAGGATCTGAGCACCCATAAACAGGTGAGCTTGGAGAAGCTTATATACTGCTCCAGCTTACTTTCTGTTCCCAGGAAACTAAGAGAGAGAAACAATTAGTTTATTTTGTATTTCTTTTACAGATTAATAATCACAGTCATGTGTATTACAGAGCCTTATATCAGTTGTCGTTTCAGCATCCACTACAAAAATCTGGCTGCTCCTGACTGCAGTCATGATAATACTATTTTTCCATTCCTGCTCTTCTTGAACATTTAAATTTTTGATATATGTCAGCAGGTTGAGTCATTCACTTGATTTGTTTATCTCTCAAGGACTGAAGCGGAAAGATCTTTCTGATTTCCCAGCTCCTCCCACTTGTATTAGCCATTATAGGGGGGTTTCACTCCATTTGCTGGATATTTGATTTGCTTCAAAAATATTATGAAGAATGCAAGCAAAGGAGTGGGACTCCAGTGCAGATGAGGGCACAGAGGTAAAGGAAGCGTTTGGATGATTCAGTAAGCCAGCATCCGCAGTGAAATATCAATTTAAATATTCTGATCCTTTAAGCTGATCCTTTAATATGTCACTATTTTTCCCTTATTTCCATTCCACGCAGCATTCTTCATTGCTTTCATCTGTGTTACTGATGGTTTTGTCCAGCCTGTAAACCTGTATTTTCAATCATATGGAACTTTTAGGAACAAGCTGTGTTGTGGTAACACATCCTCCTCTTGTGGCTGTTATGTTGTGTGAACTCCGTGTAGTCATTTGTTCTCCAGAATGGACATGTTGAAATGAAAGTGTTTGGGTCTAACTGCTGTTAACTTGTGTTCTTTCTCTCTGTGTCTCCCCTGCTGTCTGTCCTTCTGTCTCTCTCCCCATGATGTCTGTCCATCCTGTTATCTCTCCCTTCCTCTTGTTTCTCTTCTCTCTGTCTTGCCTTACCGTAGCTGCGAAGGAAAACCCGGCCCAGAGGGAGTAATCTCAGTGTATGTAACACCTCTACGCCATGCTCTAACACTCTCCTAACTTCTCTCTGTCCATCTATGACTTTTGTTTACACCCCATGTTTCTCTATCTACACTACACACTGTCATTATGTTTTCTTCCTGTCTTTCTACTGTTTGTTTCACTCTCAAACGTCATCAGATTACCTGCAGTGCCTTATAAAGGAAAAGCCTCCTGGGGACTCTGTCAGTGACAACTCTGTACAAGAGTTCCTAGCTCCATCCCCTGACAACAACCATTGGAGGGGATTGCATGCTCCTTGCCAGATTTCTCATTTATATTTCATAGGGAATGGAGCTGAAGTGAAAACCCCTTTGCAAGCCAAGCCAGGAACTCCAACCCAAAGCCAGTGTGTGATTCAGCTTGATTCATCCACTAAAATGTGCATTGTCCATTACCACTAGATGAGGAAGAGTGCAATAAAAAGCATATAGCAACCTCTATGTACAGATGGAATGGCATAAAGAATTGCAAAAGTAACTATTGCAACCTCTCTTTGAGAGCACGTTCACACCTTTCAGTGCGTTCATGTCACAGTTCCGTGACATGAACGCACTGGATTGCATAATCAAAGCCTCCCCACATTTTGTTGTGAGAGGGGGCGTGGGTGGTGCCATTCATTCATGGTACCACAGACACAACTCCTGCCCGCAGTGCGATCGCCCTCACCGGATTGCGTGTTACAGCAATTCCTTGCGTTCCAGTGTGGTGCCATTGCACTGGAACGCAGGCTTTGATTATATGATCCAGTGCGCTCATGTCACAGAACTGTGACATAAACGCACTGGATGGTGTGAACAGCCCCTTAAAGTAATCCCTAGATAGCAGCTGTGCAAACTCTCTGTAGGAATTGACCTTACCTTCAGAAATCAGATGTCCACAGCTTAAGAGTAAAGTCTGCCCAGGTACAGTTACATCATCCCTCCATTTTCCTATTGTCTATGAGTATTTTTTTTATATTGTCTGTGCTGTAAGCAAGTAGGAACAAAAATAATTCCAGCAAATTGGGAAAGGAGGGATGATGTCATTGTATCTGGGCAATCTTCAGGGACATCAGACTACTGAACGTAAAGTCAATTTTAGGGAAATCTTAGGACAAGATTGAACTGATATTAAATTGTTTTTACAAATGACAGTCGTTTCTAAATCATCTATATATTGCGAATACTTTACTGTAGATACCAACTTGCTTCTGTAGATAATGTAAGCCAGGGGTAGACAAACATCGGCCCTCCAGCTGTAGTGAAACTACAAATCCCATTAAGCATTGCAAGACTCCAAGGCCTCATTCACACAACGTTAAGTCGGGCCGTACACATCCGTGCGGCATGCAAGGCCGTATCGGGCCGTTCCCGGGAGGGAAAGCTGCTGCGTGTGATTGCAGGCAGCAGCCTGTTCTTCCCTGTGGGAGGATGTGGCCGTACGCTGTCATACGCACACCTGAACTGCACATCCGTGTGGGTCCGGGTGTCTGTCCTTGGACGTAGACAGGATCCATCTACATGCAACACCTGTCCCTCCCGGGAATGGCCCGATATGGCCGTGCACGCCGCTTGGATGTGTACGGTCCGACTTAACGCTGTGTGAATGAGGCCTAACAGCCAGAGCCATGACTTCTACCGGCAGATGTATGATGGGATTTGTTGTTTCACCACAGCTGGAAATTATTGTCAGCTACAATCTTATCCTTATAGACAATAAAATATAAAACAGTTTGGCAGTTATATTTGTTATATCATTTTTAACATACAGCAAGTAGAGACACATATTGACTAAATATTATATTCTTCAACTCATTGAGCATATATTAGCAAATGAATGATTTTGTTATATACATTTTGAATTCAAGATTTTCAGTTTATTTTCTAATTTTCATACCCATGTAGTCAAATCAGCTCCATCTCCATAAGTTCAAAGTAAGGAAACAAAATGAGAAACCGTTCTAGTCTGCGATCGTGCTCGTCACTATAGGCACCTTATAAGGTTTAGGAAGTGAGGCTATGATAAAGAGTCTGATGAATGTGTTATCCCAAATCCACAATACATACTTAACAAACTGCCACTCCAGAATAACTGGAGACAAAAGAAATTGATAAAAATATATAAATACTTTCTAGAAATGTTCATATATAAACACACATTTTCTTGATTATCCATGTATTGCACAAGAAATGCTGCATTAAAATACACGAGGTCAAGGGATTTCCAATCCCACTGGTCAACACATTGAGCTTGATCTTCACAGTTCATGTATAGCTATAACAAAAAGCATTTGCACTTTGCAGTTCTTCTTTGACCTAAAATATATATATTCCATGCAAAGCATAAATACAAAAGCTTCATATGAAATAACTGACTATTCTTGATTAAAGTGACACTAAACCAGAAATTAAATCTTTAAAATGCATTTAAGTACCTTAACCATTAACAAAAATGTATCTTATTTGTGTATCACTCGGCTGTAGATCCTCAAATCATCTCTGAATTAGTGCTGACACTGTCCTTCCTTCTGGAGGGGGGCTACTTTTATTCTCCATGGTCCCTGTGTGTTGTAAAGTAATTAAGAGATGATTTGAATATCTACAGCCGAGTGATACACAAATAAGATACATTTTTGTAAATGGTTAGTCCTCGTTCACACCTGAACGTTTTGTAGCGTGTTTGTAACGCTCAAACATCTAAATCCCATTGTATTCAATGGGTCTGGTTCACACCTTGGCGTATTTCAGCCCGTCCCTAACGCGCTACAAAACGGCCCACGTCTGAAAAGGTACATGTACTACTTTGGGCCGTTTTTGTTGCGCATTTCCATTGGGATACAGCAAAGTAGCCCTCGGAAACGCGCGTTTGTCGCACGTTTTTTTTACCGCGATTCGCAATACGCCTAGGTGTGAACCAGGGCTTAAGGTACTTAAAGGAGAACTATGAGGTGAGTGCTTTTCACTCACCTCATAGTTCTAGCCGACCTGTGACAATGAAACTGTCACAGGTCGGCTCAGTAGATCAGGAAGTGAGCAAACACATACCGGCGTTCGCTCACCTCTCGATCCTGGCTCTCTGCCGTGACAGGGGAGGGGCTGGATTCCCCCCTCCCCACTCCGATCCGCCAGCGCTGACTGGCGGAACGGACGGGGGGCGGATACAGCTAGCTCTGCCTCTAGATAGGCAGAGCCAGCTGTCAGTCACACAGCTGGGCGGATCCCGGCATAATTGTCGGGATCCGCTTCAGCTGCGGCGTCTTAGTATACCACGAGCAGCAGCTCGCGGTATACTGAGCCTAGGGTGACGGGAGGACGCTAGTTTGTGTCCTCCCGTTACCCTAAGGAGAACTATGGGGAAAAGCCTTAACCCCATAGTTCTCCTTTTAAATGCATTTTAAAGATTTCATTTCTGGTTTAGTGTCACTTTAACCGTACTGACACCTGTGGACACTGGAGAGATGGAAGATGTCTACAGTAGCCTAAGTGTAACCAACAGTTAGGTTGCCATAAACATTGAAAGCTTTATTAGGAGAAGCATTACCGCCATGATGGCCTTTACACATTGCCAATATAAGCTTCCCTAAATAAAAAATATGTTTTTTGCAGCTCACCTTAAAAATTGTTTACTGTGTTAGGTAAAATGTGCAAAACGCAACTGGGCTTGATATATCCAAGTGTCCAAAGTACCAACTGTCTTGGTTGGCCCATGCAAGTGGTTGCAATGGGGACATACTGACAGTTCCTTTACGGAATTCTGCTTATAAATGAGTCTACAAAACAGTGTTGGAGTGAATAGTATGATTGGGAAAAGGCATGTGCTCGTCATGGTGTCCAGTTGCTAGCTTTGTTGATATGATAAAAGAACATAACACTGTAAATGAACTAGTTTTGGACAGAAATAAAAAATAGCTGTAATTCATTAAAAAAAACAAAACATAAAAGGAACAGTATGCATTGTGGGCTGCCATTTAACCAATAAATGGGTACCTTATGACCCTCAGAATAGGCCTGTTGTACTGCATGGCCAGCGCCCAGTGTTTTGAACCTCCCGCAATGCTGGTTTTGTGAATATTACCAAGCTGTATCTCCAAGCTGCAGACAAGTAGGTGTGGACTTCCTAATGCTGACCCATAAAAACTGATGACCAGTGTGGGACAGACCACATCCACCTATCTGCAACTTCACACATTACAGCTTAATTAAAAGGTTAATGTTTGAGTGGCGCAATCCTCTAATTGGTGTGCTGGTGGTTACCATAGTTGCATATCGGTTTTGCAGACCATTGTGGATGGAAGTCCCATGAAACGTTCAGCCTCTATGCTTGGTCATTCTCGGTCTAAAGGCATCCGACTAAATGAATATTCATTGGAGAGGGTCACTACTGATGAAGGCCCTCGCCATGGGCACCAGCGCAGAAGAGAAAAGCGGCATCAAGTGTCTGAGAGATCCCTAACACGCTATGTGGATATAGAATCAGGTCAGTAAAATAATTGTTGCTTTTAAGAATATCTTCAGAACTAATATTTCTTTCTACTATTCTGTTTATAGCATAATAAATAATGATGTACCTGGCATACAAAAATAAATAAATAAATAAATAAACTAAAGTGGCTTTATTTCTGTAACAACTAGTAAGATTCTCTTTTCTCCTTTCTTTGGCATTCAAAATATTACTGGTGGTTACTGTGCCACTGGTTACCGTGCGCGCAACAAACGTATTTTAATTGTCTTGTAAAGTTTGTTATAGTATATACAGTATTTGTTATATACAATACATGTGATCTATACAACTGTCTAAAAATACAATTTCCAAGTTGCTTGTCTTTTAACTGGTTTTACTTGTAGAAGCTGTTCAACAAGAATACTCTTTGATACATACACAGATACTATAGCATTTTTCTAAATAAGTATATTATTGTTATTATAATTATAATTATTTTGTATTATTATATACACCCATGTTATATTCCACATTTTAGGCCTGAAAATTACTTAAAACCCCCAAACATTATATATTTTCTGAAAGCCAAGACCCTATAGAATGAAATGGTGGCAGTTGCAAATTTTTATGTTGCACGATATTAGCGCAACTCCTTATCAAACCCCAAAATTTTGTGGAAAATGCACTTAAATTCCCCAAAACACAATAAAATACCCATTTATTTAATAAAATATAAAAGATGAGGTTACAATGAGTAAATAGATACCCAACAAGCCCAAGTTAAAAATTGCGTGCGTCCGTGAAACGGCGACAAAATTCAGTATCCCAAAAAGTCCATAGAGGACACTTTAAAAGCCCCCACAGGTCATCAGTTTAAAGATACCCATAAATACTGGCCCTAGAATTATTGCTCTCACTCTGGCGTGCGCGGCGATACCCAACATGTGTAGCACGTTCGTCGTTTTCATATGTAGGCACACTCGACGCGTGTTTACGTGAAGACGCGCATGCTCGCGGGGGGCGGGGACTTTAAAAAAAATTACATTATTTTTACATTTATTTTACTTAATGTTAATTTTAAAAACTAATTTTTTTTACTTTAATTGCTATAACATAGCCCCCTTACAAGCCCCCCATGTGATAGCAGGTGGTGGTGACAGGTACTCTTTAAGGTGATGCTGGGTGTCCAAAAGACACCCAGTGTCACCTTTACACTCTAAATAAGCTATTGAAGTGCAGATCGCAGGCTTCAGGAGCCCAGCCCTAACAGCTATGGGACAAGATGAATATTGAATTTGTTAGTGGATCTAAAGTCCAGAGAACTTACCTCCTCTCTATAGATGTATGTCATTGTAGTAGCAACCAGTGCAAAAGTGCAATCCAGCAGCACTGGGTCTCCTTGAAATGTCATCAGTGATGTGTCTCCCGAAAGTGACATCACACCATTGCTGTCTCTATGCAGGCAATGTCTGGCAGATCAATCTGCCCTCACACTGCCTGTGCAGACAACGGCACCATCTGCCTCCATATTGAATAGGACAAAGTGCAAAACGGCGGCAGACATCATGGTTATTGGAAAAACTCAACTGCGCATGTCTGTGCCTGTACCAGCTCAAAGTCACAAGTCCTGCTGCCACTTTGTTGATAGCTCACGGAGGGAGATGGATGGTGGAGCTAGCTCTCGCTCTCACTCTTACTGTCTGGATTCTTGTTTTAAATGAATAGTAGATCTCCCATTTATATAGTGCCAACGGGTTAAAGAAAAAAAATCGACTTTTAGTATTAAACTTTCAGCCCTGCAGTAGGGCTTACCTATATGCTTGGGAGAACTTCAGCCAGGGCATTATTATTATTATTCAGGATTTAAATAGCGCCAACAGTTTGTGCAGCACTTTACAATATAGGGAAGACATTGTAATTATAATACAATTCAAGACAATATGGTAAGGAGGGCCCTGCCCTCTTACAATCTAAGAGAGAGGGGCGAGTGATACATGAGGAGGTAGCCATGTGGGGATGAATTGGTTGAGAAAGAGTTCAGTGGTTAGTTTGAAGTGGGATAGGCTTCCCTAAAATGATGAGTCTTAAGGGATCGCCTAAAGGCAGTCAGAGTGGGAGATAGACGGACAGGTTGGGGTAAGGAGTTCCAAAGAATGGGAGAGACTCTAGAGAAGTCCCAGAGGCGATCATGGGAGAAGTTGACAAGGGACCTGGAAAGCAGGAGGTCTTGGGAGGAGCGGAGGGGACATGCCTTTGTTATTCTGGAACTCTGTCTACTCTTATATGGGTTAGGTACCCAGTAAGTCATATATATTGATCAGAGGGAACCTGATCAATCACAAGCCAAGCTGGCCCATGTCTGCGCAGACTGAAGACCAGAACAATAAAGTAATGTGCCAGCCAGGCAGTGCGCTTAGCTCTTCCATGTAGTTTTTTCCTACATGAACTGCTGTTCACATAATGTACGAATTGTAAACTTTAAAGAAAGCACGTACAAAAACATAAAAAAGGAGAAGAAGAAGGTTCTGCCTCAATAAGTTTTAGTCTGTATAATAAATATAATCAAGAAAATGTGGCACAGCCAGTAAACCTGAAAGAATGCATGACACAAATCTGTTCTCCTGTCAGCTTTACAAAAACTATTCACAAAGTGTAATCCCCAAAAACATAGTTTCCCATTAAAAATGTGTAACTCCATAAAAATAGTACTCAGCTGAAAACAAGGCCAAAACCGTGTACTGCCTCGATTGAACTGTATCAAGGGGATGTCAGACCTTTAGGGCTCGCTCTCACTAGCCCGTCCTCTAAAAGGCTGCGTTGTGCCAGCTAACACACCAGGATAAAAGTCCTTATTTTCAGCTGAATCAAAGGAGATTTGAAAATTACAGTCACATGGCTAAAATAAAGGTCTTTGTCATTGTGTTACAGCTTTGTGAATTGAGTTAACCTAGCACTACAGATGCACTTAAAAAAATGCAAAACAGATTTGAAAAAAGTGTGACCCTTCTCTTTTTATGTATTTTTATGCAATACTTCTAACAGGTCTTGGTACAGAGCTCAGCACCACTACACAGTCGTGTGATCTGCCTTCAGAAGAACGTGGACGTACCCGGGATCGAAAGCATCACCACCACCACCACCATCATCACCACCACCATCATCACCATCCTGGATCTGAAAGGGAGCGCCAAGAGTACGGGAGAGCTAGTTCTCGTTCTCCAAGTCCAGATCGAGATTACACTCCACACAGACAGGTGGGTCCAAGTCTTTCATGATGTGTAAAATATGGGGTAGGTTGACACAACATTATTGATCAGAGAAGCAATGAGGAGGGTTTAATATAAAAGTCAGTGTAAAGAACAGGGACGATGCAGCAAGCTGCAGGAAACCTTAATAGCCAATCATCTTCCATCAGTTAAGATTTGTCTGCTCAGGGAAATATGTGTAATTATTGGTTGATATGGGTTACTGCACATTGGCATGCATTCATAAAAGACTCCTGACAGTGGGCCATGTAATTTCTGTGGCAGCAGCTCAAACTGTTCTTTGGATGTCCCTAGGCTCCGTTCACACCTAGCCGTTTTGTTGCTCAAAGCTAAGTAGGGATGCACCGATACTGGTATTTCGGTATCGAGTATGAGTACCGATATTTTTTGTTCGGTACTCTGCAATACCGAATACCGGAAGTCCCATTCAGGAAGCCAGGCGGCGTGTAATGGCTCGCTACCAGGCTTCCTGATTAGCAGAGAAGCTGTCCCCATTCTTCTCATCACTAGGTGACGAGAAAGCATGGAGTCGGCTTTCTGGCCAATCAGGAAGCCTGGCGTTGTGTAACGGCGTGGCGCCCAGCTTCCTGATTGGCCGGGAAGCCGGTTCCATGCTCCCTTGTCATGAGGTGACGAGTGAGCATGAAGCCGGTTTCCCGACCAATCAGAAAGCTGGGCGCCGCGTCATTACATGGCGTCTGGTTCCTCATTGGCCAGCTTCCGACCAATCAGAAAGCCGGGCAGCACGTCATTACACGCTGCCTGGCGTCCTGATTGGCCGGGAAGTCGGCTCCATGCTCTCTCGTCACAAGTCACCAGAGAGCATGGAGCCGGCTTCCCAGCCAATCAGGAAGCCGCGGAGCGTGTAATGATGCACTGCCCGGCTTCCTGATACCGAACGTATCTGGCTAGGCATCAGAACATTTGGGGGAGTATGAGTACTCGCCCAAATACTCTGCATCGGCACCGATACCGATACTAGTATCGGTATCGGTGCATCCCTAAAGCTAAGCACAACAAAATACTCACAATAAGAATCCCATTCATTTCCCCTGTTCACACCTCAGGGTTTTGTTGCAAGCAGAAAAATGTTTGTCGCTGGAAAAAGCACATGAGCTACTTTTTGGCAAATTTCAGAACTTTTTGGTCCCATAGACTTCAATGGGAGTATTTGTGCAACAAGATAAAGTCCATATACCCATTGCACTCAGAGCCGCTGTTCCATCAGTGAAATAATGGGTGCAGCGGAGGTCGGTGGATGGTTACCGCCAAAATATAAAGATACAGAGATGGACACTGGCACTCCAAGGCACTCCTTGTTTGCCTGATGAAGGGGATCCTGTGAGACCCCGAAACGTGGCACCTAGTGTACATAGGTGTACTTGACTTGCCTTGGAGTGCCGGTGTCCATCTCTGTATCATTGTGCAACAAAACACGCGACAAAGCGCTCAGGTGTGAACAGGGGACATAGCAATGAACGGGATTCCTTGTCTGAAGCAAATGACAAAACGCCTCGGTGTGAATGAGGACTAGTGATAACAGCCAGAGTAGGGATCCAAAATCTCTCATAACAAAGATGAGTGCCTAGCCCTCCACCAATGTAGCCATGTAAATGTTGGTTTTAGTGGAAGCATCAAGAACTAATATAAATATTTAATATACATCAAAAACTTCCTGAATTTGTATGAAATATTCAGCATTTAACTCCAGCAGGTTCATTGTTTTGAAAAAAAAAGTGTCTAAAAGAAAAGTTTCTGTTATTTTATTTGACACATTTTATTTACTGATTTAGCATCATATTATTCAGAGTGCTGCATCAAATACTAAACCATTAGCATCACTTCTAGAAGGAGAAGCTTACCGTGTCCCCACTACAGTCATACACAGGTTTGGGACAGTAAAGATTAGATTGTCAGTATGACAGTATTTTTTTGGCGCTGTGTAAAGAAACGAATACAAACTCTATGTAGCATCTCTGGAGTAAATTAAACGCTGCATCCAGAGTTGCGATATCACAGAATAAAAGCAAATTTTGAGGCAAATAAAAAAGTACCTTTGCAGTGGGGCTACCTGCACGCTGGTCAAGTGCTTGTTTATGTCAAGGGACTGGAGTAAAACAGGTTTACTTACCTGAACCCTGCTCCCCTTCCCGTCTGGGCTGTCCTCTTCTCCCCCTCCGCTTCGGCCTCGGCGTCCTCACATCTAATGCAAGTCTGTGCAACCTGCATTAGACGTGATGATGTCAGTAAACCTTAGACTGCCTGAGCGAAGGGGAGAAGAGGCTACAGGGACCGGTCTAGCAGCCTTGAGGGAGCCTGCGGGAAATGAAGATCAGCATCCCATCTCCAAACCAGTCGTCAGGAAGATGTAGATGATAAGACAGAAATGTAAACTAAGGCCCCGTTCACACCAGCGCGCTTCGTCTGCGCGGATCCGCCAACATAAACGATCCCATACATTGCTATGGAGACCGTTCATGCGACTCAGTGCGATCCGAACCGCCCCCGCCCAAATTGCTCCCTGACCCTTTTTTGCTGCACTGATCAGTACGCTTTTCATACAGCTTTCAATGGAACCGCGCTGTTCAGAGCGGTTTTGTGCATTTTTAATTGCGTTTCGGTGCTGAAACGCAATTAAAGACTCCCAAAACCTCCCTTTTGATCCGCAACCACCTTGGTGTGAATAAGGCCTAATACCTAGATTTTGATGACAAGGAGATCAGCCTACTGTGACGCTTTACGGCTGGATCTGTATTCAAATAACACAGATCAAACAAATGCACTGCGCTAATCAATAATCATAATACGTGAATAATATAGTGCTAGATATCACATATAACCAATATAATTCATAAATACTCATACATAGTAAAACGTGTCTCTCATTGTAATATCTCCAGTAGACATTAGGTGCAAATTGGTAATTAAAAGTCCACCATAAATTGATGCAAAAAAAAAAAAGGGTAAAAAGTGACAAAGTGCCAAGATAAACCATCAGTGATAAGTCCTTCTTATAGCTGTAGTGTGCAAACTCCCAGGAAGGACTTCCCGGGAAGCTATAAGAAGGACTTATCACTGATGGGTTTTTTTATCTTGGCACTTTGTCACTTTTTACCCTTTTTTTTTTTTTTGCATCAATTTATGGTGGACTTTTAATTACCAATTTGCACCTAATGTCTACTGGAGATATTACAATGAGAGACACGTTTTACTATGTATGAGTATTTATGAATTATATTGGTTATATGTGATCTATTTGATATTTAGCACTATATTATTCAAGTATTATGATTATTTATTAGCGCAGTGCATTTGTTTGATCTATCTATTTATATTATTAGCAAAGCAGCTTTTCATCTTTTATATTTATATTGATCACTTTGAGACAGCTCAGATTTTTTTAATATTCATTCAAATAACACAGGTCTGGGAGAGTGTGGAGATCACAGAAGCACATCACAGGCTTCTATGGCCAATCAATAAGGAATTTTCTTTTAGACACTTTCTTTTTCTACATGAGGTCTAATAAACTGTGAGCCACATTTATAAATTTTCATACAAAGGAAAAGCACTACTGATGTCATTTCTAGCAATGCGCTCCTGTAGCCAAGCTATGCATATTACATATTTTTAACAAGCAGCAAATTAGTTTAAACAGTTCACCTTTAGCAAAAAAACATTTCCAAGTATTTCAGCTTCCCCAGTACATTATTATACCAGACTTATATACAGTATAGCACCAGCAGTTTGCGCAGCACTTTATAATATAAAGAAAAACAGTACAGTTACAATACAATTCAAGACGAGATGGTTAGGAGGGCCCTGATCGTGAGAGCTTACATTCTAAAGGGAGGGGTAAGTGATACAGAAAGTAATAACTGTGTGGGGATGAAAAAGTGAGAGTTCAGTTGTTAGGTTGAGGTGGGATAGATGAATTTTCAGGGATCGACTATACAGGCAGACAAGAGAAGGAGATAGACGGACAGGTTGGGATAGAGCGTTCCAGAGCATGGGAGAGGTTATGGGAAAGTCCTGGAGACAAGCATGGGAGAAGGTGAAGAGGAGAAAGAGAGCAGAAAGTCTTGGGGGGGGG